AGTCAATAAATAATTTTATTACAAAAGTTAAATTGATATTTTTTTTGCTTTAAAATACTGTAATTCATTTGAAATTATAAAAATTGTCTCATTATTTTAACTTAACATCAATCAAAAATTAGAATCCCATTTACCTATATTATAGGCAATGTTTCATGTAAAATTTAAATTTATCTTAAAATAATATAAAATATATATTATAAAATTTAAGTTTCTTAATACTCATAATTTTTATTATGATTCAAACCTTTTGGAAATTTTGATTTAAATGAAATTATTTTTCTATTTGTTAACAGGAAATGATTCTGAGCTAATTATAGCTTATAAACTTTAATTGATGAAAATTGTTGAAACTAGAGGAATTCAAATGAAAATTATAAATAAACTTAAAAATTTATTATTCATAGATTTTCTTTGAGAAAGAAATTCTTTATTAATGTTAATTTTTATACTTTATACTACAGGACATCTCTTAAAGTTTTATATATATTTATTGTAAATTATGACAAAATCATTGGATAAGAAATAACAGAGAATATATCAGGACATTAATTAATATTAAATCAATTATAAGATTTATATTAAAAAAGGGTAGGTAAATTAATAGATGAAAAATTATTGAATATCAAATACATGAATAATTTTAATGAAAAAGCATTTTAATTGATCAAGACATCGAAAAATATATTTAATAGAACATAATATTTTCTACACTCTTATTAGATAAATATTAATAGGAACTACTTTATGATAAAATAATGAATAATATTTAGAAATTTATAAATTTAAATATATACTATCCATAAAAATATAGTTTATAAATTGTTGATCCTACACTCTCTGAAGAATGGATTCAATCAATAAAAGTTCAATAATTGTTTCTTAGGATATAATTACGATACTAAATTTAACAACAATTAATATTTAGAAATTATATGAAATACTTTTGAAAAATAGAATATATCTTAATTTTCTCAATTTCATTATGAGAATCATGACTATTAATTCTTCAAATATAATCTAAAATATTATCATAATATCATTATTAGAATTTAAAATAGACTAATTACCTGTGATGTTGAAAATCCAAGATAAAAAAAATATAAAAATGAAAAAAAATCATTACCAAAAGTCCTTTAAAATCCAAAAATCATTTAAATAATTTCCGAAATTAAAAAGAGTGATATCACCATAATTGATATTACTAAAAGGAATAAAATGATGATATTCAGGTTTCTAAAATAGCTGATTTAATTACATTTGATATTTGGATCTTAATAAAAAGTAAAGTAAATACCCAATAAAGAAAAGATGATATTAGACAAATTTAAAGCTAATTTATCCAAATATCAGAATTGTATTTTAAAATAATCTTACTCCAAAAATAAAAATAGATGAAGTAACTATTGTTGTATAATTATTCAAATTGACTTTATAGTGATATCATTATTAAGCATATACTCAGAAAAGATGTAAATAATAAAGATTTAGAATATCTAATCTATTAATAATTTCTTTCATTTATATGAAGATGATCCAAATAAAAATTCTGCTGGTTTAATTTAAATTCATTCTACATAAGGAGAAATATAAATAGATAATTTATTTTGTCAAGAAAATGCTATAACAAATTTATCAGCTTCCTTTATATATATCATTTCAAAATCAATCTTCATTAATAATTATATAATAAATAATCATAATATTATAAATAAATAATTATTGAGTTAATTTTGTATATTCGAAATTGATTAACAATACAATTAAGATTAAATTAACTAAATTATAGAATAGATATATCTAATAAATGTTAAAGGAGGTGTTGCAAAAATAATTACTCAATAATTTATATGTACAAATTCAATTTTACAAAATATTTTGGCATCA